GATCAAACACAGAGGACGCAAAGGAGGCCACTTACTGATTGCACCCTGCAAGGGGGGAAGCAGTAGCAGTAAGCAGATAAACCATACATTTCAAATCCATCAAACAATAGGAAAGTGAAAGAAAGGTTTTCATGAAAATATTCCAAGCCATGCTTCTAATCAACTATATGAAAACAGATTCCATTAGCAATCAAGAACCATATAATTCAAATCCATTTTTATAACAATAAGGGAAGTGAAAGTCAGATTTCGTTTGAGTATTCAAACTCAAACTTATTTTCAATTATGTCCAATCAAATTCCAGAATCAATCAAAATATTCCTCAAATACAAATGACTAAAAACATACATGCTATGTTGAAATTACAAACGGTGGAAGAATACACTGAAATCCAAACAAGAAATAGGCAAAAGACATCAAGAAAAAATAATTAATATTATTCTGTAAGAACCAAGAAAAATTAATCTACAACAGCAAATTATCACAGAACTTGTAACATTTGTTGAAAGAAGTCATTTTGAGAAAACCTCACAAACATAATTTGTAGATCAAGCAGTCACCTCCTAATAAAGACCACAACAATAAAATACATACTGCAATAATTGAGCTAGGAAGGCCATCATAACGAAAGATTGAAGTACAGCAACAAACCTTTATAAAATCAGCAGCCTTTGGTCCATTCTGCACGTCAAAACTGTAAAGCAAGAGATAAGATGTCAATTTTTAGACTAGTATAGGCTTTTCCATCATTACATTCCTCCTTTTGAGTTACTATTCTCTGATCACTTTAGCTGTATATTTGTGTGTGTGTGGTGGGTGGGTGGGTGGGTGGGGGGGTGGTTGCAATAGATATTATCAATATTATCTCAATGAAAGTTTAGTTTTCCATTAGTTTTCAGTTGCAGAAGCATATTCAATACTTGAAAAAAAAAACTTAACCAGTGAATGGAGCTCTGTGCACTCTTCTGGATACAGTAATTGTTTTATGGATGCTTTTTAGTGCAAATCCCGTTTTAACTTCACTTTTACTTTTCTTCGTGGAAAGAAGAATTTTTTTTAAACAAATTTATATATTTCAATAGTAGTCCCAAAAATTAACATTATACCTCATATCAAAAGATATACCACTTTGCTTTTCAACAAACTTAATTATTGGCACACGAGCCTTTCCAATAACCTGATCCAATGATAACATGGGAGATTCCAAAAATAAAGTCAATGAAGATCCTGATCCAATCCCGACCAAAGCAATCACTATCATTAAAAGATACCTGAATCTTTTTTGCTATTCCCTTTTGTGATAAAGCCCTGGAAAGAGCTTGCAAACCAAGTTGTGGTTTTGGGATGCCTGAATCCAGAATAACAACCTGCAAAAACGAGTTATAAATTATAATCATAAATTTACTGAAATATAAAAAAAAATTGCATCCAATAAGATCGACCACTTGATTCTAAATAATAACCAATTTTTCCATAGTCAATCCATTATGAAATATCACTAATCAAGGACAAAAAAGAAAAACTATGTATATAAAGACGACAGCCCAATTACAAATAAAAGCTGCCACCATCCTGTTAAATATGGAATTGCAGACCGTAAGTTCCAGAGTAGAATGTAGTAGCTTAGAAAAATGTTACATATGATGAGGACCAAACCATATCACAGACTCACATTGACTTCACTTGACCTAAACTAACTGTTCATATGCCACATATTTCATAATCCTTACTTTTTTAGCGAGTATCATTCACGTAGTTGCATTTAACAATAAAAAATGCAGAATCATGAAGCAAAAAATAATTGGAATCACTCCCAAATCCACCATATTGTTGTGCAGCTGGCTCTACTCTATTAGGGATCAACTATATCATTTACTTGGATCTCATATTAGAATTCTCGGCAGATCCTCTTTCCAACTCTTTGCACTTGTCAAGAAATTTGCTCTCCCCTACTCTTCTCTCATCGCAATTTCTTTCCAATGATCCAGTCAGTAGCAACGGCCAAGAAAAATGGGTAGTTGTAAAGCATCTTATAATAAGAGTTGAAAATCATGAAACATCTAAAACATGGATCTAGAAACTCACATCAATGTCACTGGTTGGAAGATAAAGCCCTGTCTGAAACGATCCAAAAACTTCAACCTATAAAACACAAACGAATAAATAAATAAACTATTCCATTCTCTTGAAATCAAGCATGGAACACGAGATTATAGGGGGCACCAATCATACCTTACAGTGAGGCCATATATGTTTGACTACACTAAAAACCCTTTCTACTGCACTGTCTCGTGCAACACGTTCCTCTTCAGTTGGAGACAGAAACTCACAAAAATCAACTATTTCTGCATGTAATCAAAGTTATGAACTCAGAACTACAATGATGTGTACAACATGATAACAAATTATGGATGTGGGTATCAAGGGCCGCGTCGTTAACCATGGAATGAGATGACACGGTTGGATTGTTGGTGTGAGGAGAAACTAGCTTCGTATACAATTTGCAGATTAAGTAAAAGAACCAGCACCTTGAAATTTTATAGATAGATACAAAGGAAAGAGTTAAGAGAACAAACGCAGTGGAATTCAGATAGTGTAACCAATTAACCATGTTATATTACGAGTAGCTTGAGGAAGAAAATGTGGATGATAATTACATTTATCTATCCAAAACAAAAGCAAAAAATCTTCTTTTAAAAATCTTCCAACCCGAATCCCTACTTTTTAATTCCACCTTCTGAGAAAAAGGTTGAGCCGAACAAAAAAAGGAAGAGTGGAACGACTGATGACCGGATTTTAGGCTCGGGACGGCGAAGAGGCTGCCGTGGCAGTTAAATGCCAGTCCATTGAAAACGAAGAGAAGTTAAAATAAACAAACAACAAGACCCACGTTCTATTTTAACTCGATAACTGAAACTTCTGTCGTCGAGGAGATAATTCAAGGATGAGTGTAACCGTTTGAAATAAACTTCTACCATCTCAAGAGCAACAAACTAATCCAATTACCTTTATGCAACTGTAGCATAGGGCTCTTGAATCCACCATTGCCACGGAACCACCCACTTTCAAGCATCGACTGATCCTCACATTCCGGCGTCCTAGGCTCAGTTTCCTGAACCGAAGTAACCGCCAAAGGAGTAGAAAACCCCGAAATTTCCTCCACGTTGTCGGCAGCAACATCAAGGGCAAAAAACTCGGTTGCTGCAGTCTCGGCCGGAGCAGAATGAGAAGTAGAGAGAGAGATCTCGTTGCGGAAAACGGCGTAGGGCTCGAGGTTATCGGAAGGCGAAAGTTGCTCCTCGCTTCCGGTGGTAGCGACGGCGGAGAATGAAAGAGGGCTTAGAGTATCGTATAGATACTGTGGAACAGTCTCTTCCTCCATTGAAATTGAAGGCCACAGAGAGAGGGAGATGCAGCAGCAAGGGGTTTTAGAAATTCGTCAGTTGGGGGGGAAAACGTCTGATTAGGGCTTTATAGACCCCCCAAAAAAAAGAGTTCAATAAATAATATATATATATGCCCTTAACATGGTAATGCCCTAAACTCATCTCGTACGTGAGTACCGAGCATTTCGAGATGTCCGAATATTCTATATGTTAGACAAACACGACTCTCCACAATAGTATGATCATAGGCCATGGTACGAGGCTTTCTGGGGAAGCCCAAAGTAAAGCCATGAGAGCTTATGCTCAAGGGGACAATATCATACCATTGTGGAAATGATCATGGGCTTTTGTGTGAAGTCTTTTAGGGAAGCCCAAAGCAAAACCATGAGAGCTTATGCTCAAAGTGGACAATACCATACCATTGTGAAGAGTCGTGTTCACCTAACATGGTATCAGAGCCATGCCCTAAATTTAGTTGTGTCAATAGATTGGTAAATTCTCAAATATTGAACAAAGAACTCTAAAAGAAAAGGAGTCAAGCCTCCTCGAAAGCAGTAAAAAATGACTAAGACTCCAAAGGAGTCGAACCTCGATTAAGGGGAGGCGCACTTTGCTCGAGGGGAGGAATGATCATGAGCATTAGTGTGAGGCCTTTTGGGGAAATCCAAAGCAAAATCATGAGAGTTTATGCTCAAAGTGGACAATATCATAACATTGTGGAGAGTCGTGTTCATCTAACACTATATTCTTACAAAAATAAATAGGGTTGCTCTATCGTCTACCTCGTAAGAGTCACGACCAGCTACCTTGTGAGAACCTTGATAGTTGTAGAATAGTACATCAAGCTCTCTACATTTATAATGATAATTGATATCTGATACGTTAAGTTGCGATCGTGTTGACAAAAGTGCATCAATACACGCGTTATTCATAAATCTTGAGTTTTTAGTTCAGTCTCGAAATTTTCAAAATGTACCCTTCTCGTCTCTAAAATTTTATTTTAGTTTTGTTTAATTCGTAAAATAAAAAAAAATTATATATTTGGTCTCATCGATTCAAAATACGTGGTAATTCATTCATATACCCTCTTTTACACGGACGTTACAATGTAATTACTCAATATATATATATAAAATAAAAAAATTAATAATATATTAAAAAAATTTATTTTTTATTTTTTTATAATACTACTCTATAGGGTTTAAATCATTGCTTAAATAAAACTCTCAATTAAATAAATTTAAATGATTAAATATTTTATTTAAAAAAAATACAATATTTTCTATGAGTTATATTCAATGTACTATGCTAGTGTTTATTTATGATTTTATTAGACTGATTATTTAATGTAAAAAAGGTCGAGATAAATTCATCTAAATCCATTTAATCAACCGTCTAATTCGTTAAGGTGTACAGATACGAACTCTTAATTTAATGAAATTAACGAAAATAAATTAATTTTTCCATATGGTTTAGAAGATATGAATGGATGGATTAAGATTATAATCACGAGATTAACAAAGAACTAAACAAATTTGTTTAGTAATTAACTAAAATTTAGTTTTTGAGGCAAATTTGTACGATTGATTAACAAATTCCCAAATCCCTATAAACAGACTCCCAAATCCCTAATTCCTCTTCATCCAGACACACAAAATCCTCCAAGAGAAGCTTTCAACAATGGCGGATCCATTACTGACACTCCTCTTCCCCATGGAAACCATGGTTTCTGAATCCGCGTCTCCTCCAGTTGTCGTCCACTACACCGTAACCCTAGACCTCCGGACCTCGATGATTTTCTCCGTCACTATAATCCTTTTCTTCCTCTTCCTTTACCACGTTCTCAGCGGCTTCCTCCAGTGGTTCCTCAGCGGCCGGCGCGGCGGAGATGTGGAGGCGGGAATGGGAGAGGAGCGGCGGGTGAGGCGGGCGGAGAAGATGCCGGCGGCGGTGAGATTTGGGAGCGAGAGAATGGTGAGGAGGAGGAGCGAGGAGGAATGTGCGATATGTTTGGAGGAGTTTATGGCCGGAGAAAACTGCCAGGCGTTGCCGGAGTGCAACCATTTTTTTCATTCGGATTGTATTGATGTCTGGTTTAGCAAGAAATTTACGTGCCCGATCTGTCGCCATTGTATTGCAGCTTAGATTTAAGCTCTTCTTCTTCTTCTTCTTCTTCCTCTTTTTTTTCTGGATTGTTTGTGCAGATACTGAAGAATTGTATATAAATATAAAATGTTAAATAAATATTTTGTGTTTTTTCAAAACTAAAAAATTATTGATTTTGAGGAAAAAAAAATTAATTTTTTCCTAAATTAGTATGGTTGAACATGAATGATGATCCTAGGTTTATATTCAAATTAGTCTCACAAATAATAAAAAAATACTCTCCATAGACAAAGAATACTCTCCATAGGGGAGAGGCTCAGGTTTATAATCCAAGAATAAGCCTATGATTATGAGTTTATAATCAAAGAATAAGTCGATGATCATGAGTTTATAATCAAAGAATAAACTTGGTAAATCTTCAAATGTGAACCAATGACTCCAAAAGAAAAAGGCATGCCCAATATATTAGTAAATCCTCAAATGTGAACAAATGACTGCAAAAGAAAAGAAAGTTGTCTCGGGGAGACGTACTTTGTTCGAGGAGAGATGTTGGGTGATGAAAGTCCCACACGGGCTAATTTAGGGAATCATCGTGGCTAATTTAGGGAATCATCATGAGTTTAATTTAGGGAATCATCTTGAGTTTAATTTAGGGAATCATCATGAGTTTATAATCAAAGAATACTCTCCCCATTTGGTATAAGACATTTTGGAAAGCCCAAAGTAAAGCCATTATGCTCGAAAGACATTTTGGGAAGCTCAAAGCAAAGTCATTATGCTCAAAAGACATTTTAGGAAGCCCAAAGTAAAGCCATTATGCTTAAAGGACATTTGGGAAAGCCCGAAGCAAAGCTACGAAGACATGGGAACCATTTTGGAAAGTCCAAAGCAAAGCTATTATAAGGACATGGGAACATTTTGGGAAGCCAAAAGCAAAGCCATCATGCTCAAAGGACATGAGAAACCCAAGCAAAGCCATTATGCTCAAGTAGACAATATATGCTCAAAATAGATAAATATCATTCCAGCTATAAGGCTCGAAGTAGACAATATATGCTTAAAGTAGAGCATATCATTCTAGCCGATATCGAGCATATCATTCTAGCCGATATCATGCTCAAAGTAGACAATATCGATAGATATTACTTAATTTCTAAATTTTAATTTCATTCCCTTAATATTTCAATAAAATAAAATTGTGCACATTTTCTCTGAGATTTTATGAATTTGATATACGATCAGAAAATAAAAAATAAAAAATTTAAATATTTAGAATGAAAGTCTAAGGATAAAAACTTATATCAAATTTTATTTTATTTTCTCTAAAGTTCCTAAATGCAATCAATATTAAAAATTGGTAATTTTTATTTAAAAGTAAAAAAAAGTAAAAAAAAGTTTGTATTTATTTAGTTTTTTTTTTTTTTTTTTTGACATAANGCAATCAATATTAAAAATTGGTAATTTTTATTTAAAAGTAAAAAAAAGTAAAAAAAAGTTTGTATTTATTTAGTTTTTTTTTTTTTTTTTTGACATAAGCATAAACTCAATATTGATGTTCATCTAAATTTAAAGTCCGATAGAATTAAATTGAACTCTCCAAAGCCTAAAAAGTAAGAATTATTATTAGGTCAAATGATTTACACCTGAGCTTTGTATTTGGTGTTCATGAAATTTAAAAAATAACGAACAATAGAGACTCGTTAGATCATTATCAAAATTTAAATTAGCTGAATTTTTCTTAGCGTTAGATTTTGGATTATACACAATCAGGTAGAAAAACGAAACTACTTCCTTGAAAATTTTCGTAAAAAAAAGAAATCAAAGTCTCGGACGAACGCAGTAGGAAGAAGAGAAACCAATCATCAGACGATCACAGCGAAATATCCAAGGAAATCATCAATTACTAACACGATATCAATAAAAATGAAATTCAAACAGCAGCATACATATCAATTAAGGCTTATCATCCCCAGGCTCGGCATCGTCGTCGTCGTCAGAGAAATCGTCACCACTAAACTCCTCACAACCTTCACCATCCCAGCCATCAGAGCCTTCGAAGTCGCTGTCGCTGTCGCTCTGTTCATCTATGTCCTCGATCACCGGCTGCTGCTTTCCTCTGACCTCAATCCTAAATCCGCCATCAAAGCTAGAATTAAAATGCCTAGGCAGTAGGGGCCGATCGCTTAAACCAAGCTCACGAAGGAATCCGGATGCGGATTGTGTAGGAAATGGAAGGAGATGATTATGGATGGATTGTGCTAATGGAACGGATGAGGCTGGATTGCGAAGAAGGAAATAGATTGGGGCTTTGACGTCCTTGAGAATCGACCTGGACGCCATTGGAGGAAATGGAGAAGAAAGAGTTTGAGAGGAAGGGGTGGTGATTGGGGTTATATAGAGCGGCAAGAGATGAAGGTTTAGGGTTTTTGGAAGTCGGTTCTAGAGACTGGTTGGAGTTTTTGCCACGTGGAAAACAAACCCTCGCCGCTCCCTGCATTTACCGCCCGATTTAAACTTCAATTTAATTAAGAAACTACAAGTTTATTCAACATCTTTTATTTTGTATTTATTTAAACTTTTTCTAATGAGCTTAATTTTTTTTTAGCTAATTTAGTATAAAAAAAAAAAAACCTTTCAATGATATTCTTAAATTTACAAAAAAAAAAAAAAAAAAAAAAAAAAAAAAAAAAAAAAAAAAAAAAAAAAAAAAA